CCGAGAGCAGGGATGGATTCCAGGAGCCAATCTAGAATTATCAGGGAGCAGGGATGGCTTCCAGGAGCCAGCCAGGACTATCAGGGAGCAGGGATGGATTCCAGAAGCCAATCTAGAACTATCAGGGAGCAGGGATGGATTCCAGGAGCCAATCCAGAACTATCAGGGAGCAGGGATGGCTTCCAGGAGTCAGCCAGGACTATCAGGGAGCAGGGATGGATTCCAGGAGCCAATCCAGAACTATCAGGGAGCAGGGATGGCTTCCAGGAGCCAGCCAGGACTATCAGGGAGCAGGGATGGATTCCAGGAGCCAGCCAGGGCTGTTGGCCCCACTGACGCCCCTCAGGGCCGTGGCAGAGCAGGAGTGGGGTGGGTGTGTGCTCACCAGTTCCAGGAAAGCTTTCCTCTCCAGATCCAGTGTCTGGACCCGAGCCCGCAGTGCCAGGATCTCCTTATCCAGGCGGCTGTTGTGCTCCATGACCTCCTGGAGCTCAGCCCTGCCTGGAAAAGCACAGGGCAAGACAAACTGGTCACTGAATCCCAGTTGAGTTGGAAGGGACCCATAAGGATTATCCAGTCCAATCCTCAGCCCTGCTCAGACACCCCAACAATCTCACACTGTCCCCAAAAGTGTTGTCCAAAGCCTCCTGCAGCTCTGGCAGCCTTGGGGCTGTGCCCACTGCCCTGGGGAGCCTGTTCAGTGCCCAACCAGCCTCTGGGGGAAGAACCTTGCCCTGAGATCCACCCTGAGCCTGCCCTGACAGCTCCAGCCATTCCCTGGGGGCTGTCCCTGCTCCCCCCAGAGCAGAGCTCAGTCCTGCCCCTCCTCTGCCCCTGCCCAGGCAGTTGGAACTGCACGGAGGTCTCCCCTCAGTCTCCTCTTCTCCAGCTGAACACACCAAGTGCCCTCAGTGTCCTCCCAGGGCTTCAAATCCAGGCCCTTCCCCATCTCCATTTCCCTCCTTTGGACACTCTCCAATGGCTCAATCTCTCCTTCCATTGTGTCCCCCCCAACTGTCCCAATATTGCAGGTGAGGCCACCCCAGAGCAGAGCAGAGCGGGACAATCCCCTCCCTGCTGCCCCCAGCACAGGGATGTCCCTCCTGGCTGCCAGGGCACTGCTGACTCAGGGACAACTGGCACCCACCAGCACCCCCAGGCTTCTCTCCTGGCACTGCTTCCCAGCCTCTCATTCCCAGTTTGTCCCTACATCCTGGGTTGTCCCATCCCAGGGGCAGAATCCTGCACTTCCCCTTGTTGAACTTCCCATGGTTGGTGATTCCCAGCCCTTGGATCCATCGAGGTCTCTCTGCAGGGCCTCCCTGCCCTCCAGGGACTCAGGAGCTCCTCCCAGGTTTGGGATCAAACACTGCAAACTTGCTCAGTGTCCCTTCCAGTCCTGCATCCAACCACTGATGGAGATGCTGGAGAGCACAGGGCCCAAGATGGAGCCCTGCTGAACCCCCCTGGTGACAGATGACAGTCTGATGTCACCCCAGTCACTGGTGTGACCCCAGTCCCTGCTCTGGCCCTGCCCCAGCTCCACCAGGGCTCCCAGACAGCCCTCACACACAGGGGGTCCATGGGCAGGAGCACAGACACTCCATGTGGGAACATCCCCATGGAACACCATCCTTGTGGAGCACGTGGAACACATCCCCATAGAACCCATCCCCATGGAACACACCCCCATGGAGCCCATCCCCATGGAGCACCATCCTCATGGAACACCATCCCCATGGAACACCATCCTCATGGAACACCATCCCCATGGAACACCATCCTCATGGAACACCATCCTCATGGAACACCATCCTTGTGGAACACCTGGAACACATCTCCATGGAATCCATCCTCATGGGACCCATCCCCATGGATCACACCCCCATGGAACATCATCCTCATGGAACACCATCCTTGTGGAACACATTCGTATGGAACACAACCTCATGGAACATCATCCTCATGGAACACAACCTCGTGGAACACATGGAACACATCCTCATGGAATACCATCCCCATGGAAGACCATCCTCTCCCTTCTCCAGTAGATCTCCAGCTTCCAGGAGATCCAGGTTCAACAGCAGTGCTGTGTTCCCTACGCTCCACAGTTATCCCAGGGATTCCAGTTTGCCTCTGGATCAGGGAGAATCCCCCCCCCCCGCACCTCCCATCTTTAGCACAGGATTCACAAATAGCAAGGAAAGCTTTGGGAAACCCAAACAACCCAAAAATTCCTTATTTTCACCGCAAAATGCCTCATTGCTCCAAGCGGGAACACAACCAGAATTACTCTATCCGTGTTTTCCAGGCATTAATATTTATGGAATGGCCAGGACAGGAAAGCTGTGGCTGCACAGCAACCCTTCAAGGCTGAATCAATAAATCAGTGCAATCATAACACACAGTTAATGCAGACTCCCAGTATTCCCAGTGCAAAAAAAAACAGGGAAAGGTGTTGGGATGAGGAGCACACGGACAGAATCGTGTCCCAAAAACCAGGGAAGAGACAGTTTTCTTCCCAGAAGAGGGAAGAAAGAGTTATTCCCTTTCCAGCTTAAGGAAAGGGGTGGGCATGGGAAATTTCAGCTGCAGATTGATTTTTATTCAGGCAAAAATCAAAACCTCTCTCCTTGTTTGGTCCCAATTTGGAAAAATGGGGGGAAACCCGCACAATCCCAGTCCCTGATTCAAACCAGGAGAGGGACAGGGACAGGGACAGGGACAGGGACAGGGACAGGGACAGGGACAGGGACAGGGACAGGGACAGGGATAGAGATGGAGAGGAGAGGAGAGGACAGGACAAGAGAGGACAGGAGAGGACAGGACAAGAGAGGACAGGAGAGTAAATTTATTCTAGTAAAGATCAGTGATTTCTCTGAGGGTTTTTATTAGCAAATAAATTCCCTTACTCACAGTTTGCAAGGCCTTGTATTCATCTGACACTCCAGCAGATCATAAAGCTCAGGGAATATGCAGGGAACGATCCATGGGGGTCCCAGGCTGGAGCTGCTCCGTGCTCTGTGTGCTGGAGCTGCCACTGCCGGGCTCACCCCATCCCTGGGGACACGTGGATCAATCCACACACCCAGCACGGCCCTGCCTGGCATTAGAGCGCTGTGGGTGACGGGGTTGGGAGCTGGGGAGGAGCTGCCAGGTCCTGGAAGCTCCTGGGGTGAGGTCCAGGCCCTCACACACAGCACCAGGACCTGCCACTCTCTCCTAAACCTGACCCCGGAGTCTCCTGGAGTGGCTTGGTCTCCAGTGGGGCTGGGATGTGTCACCTCACCCCCAGTTTGCTGCTCTCCCCTGGAATTCTGCATCCCAGGTTTGGGGGCTGTGTGGGGCGATGGGTAAAGTTAAAACTGGAGGGGATTCAGAATTTAAGGTGAAAAGCAGCTGCCACTCCCTAGAGGGACAGAGGTTGAGATGCTCCCCAGAACAACCAGAAACGTCTGCCCAGAGGGACAGAACGGAGTGTGGGACCAGGCAGAGAGCAGGTGGGCTCCTCCATCCCAATCCCAGCAGAATGGGAGAACATTGCAGCACTGAGACCCTGTCTGATCAGGGAGAGTCAGGATGTTCTGCTGCTGAAGCCACATCCAAACCCCCTCCTCAAGTGGCCAAACCCTCCCTCATTGGGTACACCCATCAGAAATAAGAAAAGTTTTGATGACTAGAGCCACTCAAGCTCCACACAAACATAAAGAAAATGAAGAAAAATCTGAACTCACGCCTTTCACATGACAAGGACAATGTAAGGAACCCCCTCCCGAAAAAGCAGCAAAGTGTCCAGCAAAGCACCTGGATCACTCCAAGAGCAGCTTTACCACATCTGCCTCCAGAAAACTCTTCCATTCCACAGTATTTCAGTTTATATAAATATTTCAGTATTTACAGAAAACACTAAAAATAAATAAATCTTCAGGGCTGGCCAGCAACAGTTATTTCAGGAAGCAGGTGAAGGGACACAATCTAAGCAGTCACTTCATCATTGCTGCTCTTGCCAAGGGCTCCCAAAGAGGCACCATCCAAAGTGCCTGTGGAGAAACCTGGGATGAGGGGCCCAGCAAAACCTGTGCACATGGTATTCCAGCTACCCTGTTCCCTCTCCATCCCCTCCTAGTGCAAGAATTTCTCCCTGTGGAGGGGCCAGGGAGAGGAATTCAGTCCAGATCCACAGAACCCCAGACTCAGAATGAATGGATCTGTGACTGGCAATAATTGCATTCCCATCTCCTAAGGAGCAGAGATTTTCCCACCTGATTTCACATCTGATTTTCCCACATTCCAAGCAGAGAGGACACAGGAGAGGCTGCCCCCAAGTCCCCAGAGGTGGGGGGGTGACCTTACCCTGAGTGGGCTGGTGACAAGCAGGAATTAGGGGTGGCTTTACCTGCTCCACTCTGCTCCTCGCTGGGTGCATCCAAGCCCTCTGGCATCCCCTGGAGCTCTTCCTGGGCCACCATCAGCCTCTGGGGAGCCTCACCCAGCTCTCCCACAGCTCCTGCAGGTCCCCTCTCCAGCTCTTCCCTGCAGAACTGAAGCACAGGGGTTAAAGTTCCACTGGAAATCAGAAAACCCCGGGGGAGATGGGACCGAGGCAGAGCTGTTTGTCCCCCTCTCTGACACTGGTCTCCTCATCTCCAGTGCCATTTCTGGTGTCCCCCTCTCTGACATCAGTCCCCTCATCTCCAGTGCCATTTCTGGGGCACACCAAAGGCAGGTGATACCCACAGGGCAGCCCTGAGCCAGAGCTCTGAGTGTCCCCTGGCCCCCAGCAGAGGAGATTCACACCTGCACTGGCTGCACAGCCTGTGGATGAGGCTCTGGAATTGTTCAGGCTGTGAGTTGTCATTCTAAAATCAATAAAAACCTTCCCATTGGGCTCAGGAAGAGACCTGAAATAGGGGGGAGGGACCACAGGTCTGATGAGGAGAAGCTGGGGGGGCTCAGCCTGGAGAAAAGGAGGCTCGGGGGGACCTTCTCGCTCTCTGCAACTCCCTGACAGGAGGGGGGAGTCAGGGGGGGGAAAATCAGGCTCTGCTCCTGGGGAACAAGGGACAGGATGAGAGGAAACAGCCTCAAGTTTTGCCAGGGCAGGTTTAGATTGGATATTTGGGAAAATTCCTTCATGGAAAGGGTGGTCAGGCACTGACACAGGCTGTCACCACCCCTGGAAATGCTCAAAAAACCTGTGGATGTGGCACTTGGGGACACAGTTCAGTGGTGAACGTGGCAGTGCTGGGTTAAGGGTTGGACTTGATGATTTCAGAGGGCTTTTCCAACCTTCTGAGTCTATGAAATCCCGACTATGAGCTGTGCCAACAGCATGAAAATGTGTATTTCCCTTCTCACTATCCCTTAGGAGGCAGCTGGGGGAGTCCAGTTCCCAATGCCTGGGGAGTGTGAGCAGAGCCAGCCTTGCACAGGAGATTTTAATGCACAGCAGCACCAGCCAGAGCATGGCCATGTGTCCCTTGGCCCTGCCCTGTGCCCCTTGGCACCACTGAGGGGGGGGGATTTTCAGCTTCAGAGTTATTCCTCTGCCTTTCAGAGCCAGAGGGCTCAGCTTTGTCCAGAGATTGACTCCCTTTATCAGAGTAACACTGAGAGACTCAGGATCATGGAATGGTTTGGGATAGAAGGGACCTTAAACCCCATCCAGTGCCACCCCCTGTCGTGGGCAGGGGCACCTTCCACCAGCCCAGGTTGCTCCAACCTGGCCTTGGACACTTCCAGGGATTCAGGGGCAGCCACAGCTTCTCTGGCCACCCTGTGCCAGGGCATCTGGTCTCACCTGAGGGGGGCAGGGGGACAGAGCCCAAATTTAATTGGCCTTTGGGGTGCAAACACACACTGTGGGCTCATGTCCCGCTTTCCATCCATGAGAACCCCCAAACCCATCCCTCAGGCTGTCCCCTGACCTTTGAGCCATTTAGGAACTTGTTCCTTCTCCAGCCACGAACCCAGCAGGTTGGGGGTTACTGATATTTGGCACTCCTGGAGATGTTCCTGAGCTCCCCCACACCACGAGCCCAGAAGATTTCCCCACGGATCTGTCAGAGCTGACCACACAAACTGCAGGTTTGGACCTCCCTATTTCTGCCTTAGTGGGGACACATCAAAACAATCAGTTCTGCTTGGGCAGTCAGGCTAAAAGCTGAATTCATCCCTGTACCAGGCAGGACAGGGCTGGCCCTTCATCCCAAGGGTGGGACAGGTCAGCTGGGAACAAGCAAGGCCACACATTCCTGCAAACAGAGTAAGAGGAGCAATTAACCCATTAACCTGTAACACTGTGGGGACTCTAATGATTCTGTGAAACAAGAGTGATGCTCCCCTGAACAATGGGGTGCTTAATCCACAGTTTCTGGTTCACAGGGGTGGACAGCAATGACATCATCTGGCGGGAATAAGCAGTTTCAGGGAGCCTGTTTTCCGGGAAAACGGATCTCCCAAAGTGTCCTTCACCTGGTTCAAAACAACAGAAACGGTGCCCAGTGTAAGAACTGGGAAGAACTTGTGTTTGGTTGGAAATAAGGAGCATTATGCTTATAAAAATCCCCTGGAAGTGTCCAAGGCCAGGTCCAGTGGAGGGTATCCTCCCAACCCAAACTGTTGTGTGATTCCATTCCTGTCAGCAGGAAGAAACTGGAAGGCACAAAAGCAGGAGAAGGCCAAGCCCTGACCCCTCTTTGAGGTCCTGCCCCCTCCCTGCTTTCCCCCGGCTCCACCTCCTTCCTCACTGCTTGGGAACTCAAACAGCAGTTCCCAGAATTCCAGAATGCTCCATTAAATAGCCACATTCGGGAGTAGGTGGGAATTGGTGGCCTTAAAATCACAGAAGGGACCTCCAAGATTCATCCAGTCCAACTCCTGGCCCTGCACAGACCCCCCAGCAATCCCACCCTGTCCCTGAGAGCTGTGCAGGTGTGGGAGCAAATCAAAGGCAAATGTCCAAGGGGGGAAACTAAGAAAGACATGGACTCAGACTCCAAGAATTCCAGCTTGGTTTGGGTCGGAAGGGATCTTAAAGCCCACCCAGTTCCACTCCTTGCCCTGGGCAGGGACACCTTCCACCAGCCCAGGCTGCTCCAACCTGGCCTTGGTCGCTCCCAGGGATCCAGGGGTAGCCACAGCTTCTCTGGGCACCTTGTGCCAGGGCCTGCCCACCCTCCCAGGGAAGGATTTCTTCCCAATATCCCATCTAAACCTGCTCTCTGGCAGTTTGAAGCCATTCCCCTTGTCCTGGCACTGTCTGGTCCTGTAAATAGTCTCTCTTTCAGGTACTTCACCACCGAGACTCCACTGAGGCCTCAGAGACAGGAGCAATAGTTGTAATTGCAGAAATATCCCAAAGACATTCCTTTCCCAGCCTGAGCAGCTGAGCAGGAGGTACCTGGATGCCCTCTGTGGGGCTGTGGAGCAGTCCCAGTTTCCCCAGCAGGGCCGTCCTCTCCACCAGTAAATAGGCGACCTGTTCGCTGGCGGCGCTGTGGGCGATCTGGGACAGCCCTTCCTGCTCCAGCATCTCCTCCACCTCCTTCAGCTGGGCTTCTGCAAGGCAAGGCAAGGCTTGGGGTGAGCAGAGGAGCAAACAGGGCACGATTTCCTGCAGATCTGCTTCCCAGATCCTCTGATTCCCCAGTGCAGCAGCTCCTGTTTCTCCTGGAGCCCTCCAGTCTCTCCTCCTGCTTCCCACTCCCTGTTATCTCATCCCTATTCCCTCTCTCAGATGGTTTCTGCTCATCCATCCCCTTCCCTGCCTGCCAAGCCATAGGACCTGCTACACACCCAGTTAGAGTTCTCCTGCCTGGTTTTCAGTGGAGGAGTTTCTCCAACCATCTTCTCCTCCCAGCCTGGTTTATCCTCACCCCATTAACCCTGAGCGCAGCTTGGTGGAAACTAAACAGGTTAAACACGAGGGAACCGTGGAATCATCAAGGAAAAGACCTCCAAGATTATCAGTTCCAAGCTTCAGATCCCCAAGATCTCTTGGAGAGAAGCAGATATTTTCTTCAGCAAGAGACACAAAACACCAGATCACTCCCAGAGAGCATCACTCTTTTCCCCAAAGAGAGAGGCAGATCTAAATATCTTTAAGAATTAAAGTGCCAATCCTTCACCATTTATCCCAAAATTATAGCCAGGGATGCTCTGTACTGGGAAAAACTTCCAGATTCAATGGCAGATTTTGTGACAACACTTGCAGAAGTCAGGAGAAAACGAGGAACCTTTGGTCTCTGGAGTGGTCAGGGCAGTAACTCCTGCACCAGCTCCAGCAGCTTGTGGAGCCAGGGAAGGGCTTTTCCGACCCTCCCCGTGTAATTCATATTAAAACCAAATTTCTGGCCCAAACCACGTTATAAAGGTTTCTGAGTGCAGCAGGAAGGGAGTGCAGGGAGCTGCAAGGAAGAAGGAGGGATATTCCCAGATTTTTCACTCAGGGAGCTGGAGCTGGACAACTGATGCCCATCACCCAGGACACACAGAGCTCTGGACAAGCCTGGTCCTCCCTTCCCTGCACTGATTTAACCACCTCCTGAGGCTCCAATCAATCCCTTGTTTCCACTCTGCTGTTCCAGCCCTGTGGATGGAAAACACCCTGCGGTTCCCTGGGGTCACAGAGCACAGCTCAGTCAATAGGGGATCAAACAGGGCCCACCAGCAGCTGCAGCACAGCAAACAGGGCTTTTGGCAGCATCAAAATAGCTGGACTTACTCCATGTCCACCAGGAAGAGCCCATGGATCACAGCAAACTGACCCCAACCTGCCTTGCAGTTTGCTCCCAGAGACAGATCCCAGCTAAAATGAAGGGGAAACTGCTCTGATTTATGGGCAGGAATGGGACCCCCTGTGCCACTGACACCTCCCCCTGCCAGTGCTTCCCTCACACCCTGCATAGCAACGTGTAGCAGCACAGCCTCAGATCCCAGACACTTTCCACCGGCTGAGGAGGGAAAAGGATCTGTGAGGATGAGAAGGGTCTGCCACACCCAGCACAGCTCACCTGCCTGTCAAACCCACTGGTTTCTCACAAACCCCTTCCCTCCCCCACCCAGCAGGTCTGGGAAGAGCCAACAGGCACTGTTCCACCAGAGCACTGCTGGGTTCCCACTGGCACCTCCTGCCCTTGCTTGTTTGGAAGCAAGTTTTTTTCTGTTTATATTTGTATTTTCCTCCCCCAGGAAGACTCTCAGAAGCAGCAGCTCAGTGGTGTCCTCACCCCACCCCAGACCTGCCCGCCCTGTCTCTGCTGGGGGTGTTCTACCGGTCCAGCTGTCCCAGCTGTTCCAACAAACAAGCTCAGACCACAACTATTTATTCTTTTTATTCCACTTTTCGAAACAAACGGAGGCAGCTCCCCCCCCAGTGTGGTGCTTCACTGCCCATTAGAGCTGTTTTGCAGGAAGGCTTTTGAAAAGGCACCACAGCACGTGTGCCATTGACCTGCCCTCCAACAACACCCCGGAGCGTCCAGCGAGAGCCATCGGATCAGGAACCGCCTGCAGGGGAGGAAAAATGTCACTCTGGGCAGAGGATCCACACGAGGTGAAGCTCAGCTCCATGGCCCAGCAGGAACCAGCCCTGGCTGCTCCAGCAGGAACCTGTGCCAGGCGCAGAGTAAATCTGTCAGCAGGGATTTAACTGTGCCATCAGAAACTGCTCGGGGTCAGTGATGAGCATTAATGACCCTCAGAGCCTGAAGGGGCTCCAGGAGAGCTGGGGAGGGACTTTGGACAAGGGATGGAGGGACAGGACAAGGGGGAATGGTTTTAAATTAAAAGGGGGGGAATTTAGATGGGATACTGGGAAGGAATCCCTCCCTGGGAGGGTGGGGAGCCCCTGGCACAGGGTGCCCAGAGAAGCTGTGGCTGCCCTCCCCACAGGTTGGATGGGGCTTGGAGCGACCTGGGATAGTGGAAGGTGTCCCTGCTCGTGGCAGGAGGTGGGACTGGAGGGGCTTTAAGGTCCCTCCAAACCCAACCCAGCCTGTGATCCCATTCCAAATCCTTTGGAAATGTGGCACTGCACAAGCACATCCGTCTGCTCCGTGCCAAAGATGGCCAGGGGGATTTTTTATTGTGAAAAGGCTGAGCTAGAACCATGGAATCAGAGAAAACCCTGAGCTGGAAAGGACCCACAGGGATCATCCAGTCCAAATCCTGGACAACCCCAACAATCCCCCCTCTAAAAGCTTTGTCCAAACATTCCTGGAGCTCTGGCAGCCCTTGGGGCTGTGACACTGCCCTGGGGAGCCTGTTCAGTGCCAACCACCCTCTGGGGGAAGAACCTTTCCCTAATATCCATCCTAAACCTCCCTGGCACAGCTCCAGCCATTCTTTGAGTCCTGTCCCTGCTCACAGAGAGCAGAGATCGGAGCTGCCCCTCAGGAGGAGCTGCAGACCCCAAGGAGTCTCCCCTCACTCTCCTTTTCTCCAGCTGAACAAACCTGAATAGCAAAGACCCAAAAAACTCAATAAAACACTCCACAAACACCTTGAAACACCTCAGGGCTGCCCCTCCTCCCTGCAGGGGACAGCCTGGGGGAAGCAGGGCCTTCTCCACTGCCCAGATCCCTAAATTATCCCCAAACAGCACTAGTGCCAGCACTTCAAACCCACAATCTGCCAGTGATATCCCAACCCCCCACACACAGAGAAAACCCCTATTGGCATTGAATCCACAAAACCCCCTGGGAACAACACCACCACAGATAAAATCCAGATCCACAGACACGGATCTCGGCTTCCATTGCAGCCTCAGTGATTGCTCAACAGCCACGAGAATCCCTCAGAAATGGAAAAAGTCCAGGATCAGGAGGGAATCGCTGGCATTCCAGCTTTGGGGAAGACCTGTCCTTCTCCTGCCACCTCGTGGGAAGTGAGAGAAGAACCAGGAACGCAGGTTCCCTGCTCCAAAAAACTCATTAATCATTTCAACCCCTTGTAACCAGCATTTTCACCTCAAAGCACTGCTTGAGGTGCTCAGAGGAACCAGAATTTTAGGCAAACCCATCTTTGGAAAGCCCCTCCATCAGATATGCTCCTTGAAAACCCAAAAGATGTTCAAAACCACGATCAGTTTGCCCAAAAACTCCTTGATTTGCTGCTCCAAACGAAGCCTCTATCACAGAGAAGCTGCGCCATCACCCCAAATTTTACCTTAGGGTCAGGACAGCACACTCCACAAAAGAAGCTGACGTAACAAAGGTGCTCAAAGCACAACAGAAGACTGAAGAACATAAAGATTTAAACCCAGAAAAAATATGTTGGCCATTAGTGGAAGTGACCCCAGAGTTGGAAAATAAATTATTTGAAGGGAAATAAATGAAATATTTCCTTTCAACAAAATTACTGCCCCTAAAATAGTGGAGCTCTGAGGGGCTCTGAGCAGCATGGGGTAGTGGGAGATGTCCCTGCCACGGCAGGGAGTGGAACTGGATGGGCTTTGAGGTCCCTTCCAACCCAAACCATCCTGGGATTCTGTGACAATAAACACACCCAAGTTGTGAATCCCCAGCACAACTGTTCCTCACAGCTGCTTTAAGAAACGAGGAGTTTGTGCAAACCAAAGGCAAATTCACTGCCTGGGTGGGAGTGAAGAGTCAATGACAGATAAATCAGTGTTGGAAACCAAACAGCATCATCAGTTCTGGCCTTCAAACAGCCCCTGGAAGAGGCACCAACAGAGCCACGTGGAGAAAGTGCCAAATAAAGAAAGGTAGTGAAAGCAGACAAGAACCTCTAAATCAATTAAAAATCAGCTCTAGCAGCTCATTAACACTTTCAGCAACCTTCCAAAGAGCAAACCACCAAGAGGTCCCCGAAGACTCCTTGAGAGCTCCTTGAGAGCCCCGCAAAGAACTCCCTGAGAGAGCTCCCTGAGAATCCCCAAGGAAGGCTGCTCTGCTCTCCAGGAAGGTTTAACACCTGCCAGGGCATTCCCTGGGCTCGTGGTGAGGAGGGATCATTACCCTGGAGCAGCTGCAGCCGTGCCAGCTCCAGCCTGAGCTGCTCATTCTCCTTCTCGTACTCTGAGGCGATGGCATCCCGCTCCTCCGTCAGGGCACGGACGTGGCCCACGTAGCTTTCCACCTGGAACAGGGAAAACAGCCCTTTCCACCTGGAACAGGGAAAACAGCCCTTTCCACCTGGAACAGGGAAAACACCCCGCATCCTTGTAGCTGCCAGAGCCTCCACAGGGGGCACAAAGAGATCTGCCACCCTCGTATTTAAAGGATAAGCTCAAATCTTTGTAGGACTTGGGAACAGCTGGGGAAAACCTTGACAGGGAGGGCTGGAGAGTGGGAGAGGGTGAGGAGTGGGGGTGCTGGGATGTGGGGGGGGGCTCTGAGCCACAGCTCTGTGGGGGATGCTGGGTTCACCACCTGCTTTTTGATGCCCCCACATGAGGAATGGGGAATGTAGTGGGGATGGCCCGAGTTTCCTGGGGCAGCAGAATGGCTCTGACACCTCTGGAGGTGCTGCTGCACACAGGGAGTGTGGGACTGGGTGGGTTAAACCCGGGGGGTGGAATCAGAGGATCAATTAGGTTGGAAAAAATCATGGAGTGTGACCTGTGATCAATCCCCACCTGGGCACTGAGTGCCGTGTCCAGTCCTTCCTCAGGCACCTCCGGGGGTGGGAACTCCACCAATGCCCTGGGCAGCCCCTTCCAGTGCCTGTCCACCCTTTCCATGAAGAAATTCCTCCTGATTCCACCTGACCCTCCCCTGGCACAGCTTGACACCCTTTCCTCTCCTCCTGTCCCTGTTCCCTGGGAGCAGAGCCCGACCCACCCCTGGCTCCCTCCTCCTGTCAGGGATTGCAGAGAGCAAGAAGGTCCCCCCTGAGCCTCCTTTTCTCCAGGCTGAGCCCCCCCAGCTCCCTCATCCCTGGTGCTCCAGCCCCTTCCCCAGCCCGCTCCCATCCCAGGACGGCTCCAGCAGAGCCCCTTACGTCTCTCATGTCCTGCTCCCGCCGCCGTTCCAGCTCTCCCAGCCGCGTCTCCGCTTTCCGAAGGAGCCGCCAGGCCAAGCCCAGCTGCTCGTGTGCCGGGGCCGCGGGATCCGCGCCCTCCGCCCGCAGCCAGCGCAGCACCGCGTCCGCCGGCACCGGGGGCTCGGCCTGGGGGGACAAAGGGGCGTGAGAGGCGGGGGATGGGGTAAAACTGATCCCCCTGACCCCCGACCTGGGGGTACAACCGACCCTCTCGGACCCCAAACCCTAGGGGACAATTGACCGCTCTCAACCCCCGATCCCAAACCTGGGGGTACAACCGACACCCCTCAACCCCCGCTCCCGGGGGTACAAACACCCCTCCTTTAGCCCCCGATGACAAACCCGAGGGTTCAACAGATTCCCCTCAACCCCCGATCCCAAACCCGAAGTACAACCGACCCCTCTCAGACCCCGATCCCGGGGGTACAAACGCCCCTCCTTTAGCCCCACGATCCCAAACACGGGGGTAAAACTGACCCCTCTCAGCCCACGATCCCAAACCCGGGGGTACAACCGACACCCCTCTCAACTCCCGATCCCAAACTCAGGGTACAACCGCCTCCCCGAAACCCCAGGCTGGTGCCGGCGATAAAACGACGGCCCCCAAGCCCCCCAATCGCAGGGATACAACCGGCGCGCACTCAGCCCCTGCTGGTGGGCCCTGGGGCACCGCCGACCCCCCGGTGCTGCCCCCGGGGACACCGTGGGGCCCCTCGGGCCCGCTCCGCGCACCCACCGGGGCGGCCGCGGCGGCCGCGTCCATGCGGCGGGACGGACCCCGTCGCCATGGCAACAGGACACGCCCCCTGGAGGACACGCCCCCACAGAGCCCTGAATCGGGCTGCGATGCCACGCCCACTGCCCCACCTCCAGCCAATAGTGTCGTTAGGGGTCTGTGAGACCACGCCCCCCGGTCACGCCCCTCTCAACAGGCGCCCCCTGGCGGGGGTCCCGCGGCACAGACCGGCCTCCAAAAATCCCAACAAAGCGGGAAAAAAAGTTGTCCCGGTTTTCTTCGAAAAACTGCTGGAGCTGAAGGGATGTGCCGAGGGGACTAGGGCAACGGCAGGGAGCTGAGCCTGTAGAGGAGAGGTGGCCGGGGAGACCTTAGAACCCCTTCCAGTGGTAAGGCGAGACCTCCCTGTGGTGCTGCCTCCAGGGCTGGAGGCAGCACAGGAAGGACGTGGAGCTGCTGGAGAGAGTCCAGAGGAGGCCATGGAGATGCTCCCAGGGCTGCAGCCCCTCTGCTCTGGAGCCAGGCTGGGAGAGCTGGGGGGGTTCACCTGGAGAAGAAAAGCTCCAGGGAGACCTGAGAGCCCCTTGCAGGGCCTAAAGGGACTCTAGGAAAACTGGAGAGGGACCTGGGACAAGGGAAAGAGGCACATGCCAAGGGGAAATGGCTTCCCACTGTCAGAGGGCAGGGTTAGATGGGATACTGGGGAGAAATCCTTCCCTGTGAGGGTGGGGAGGCTCTGGCACAGGTTTGGGTCACCTCATTCTCCTCCTTTTCCCACCCTTGTTTCACCATCCACCCTTAACACCAGATGATTCCCCGCTCCAGTTATAAAACCAGCCCATCTTTGCTGCAAAGCCCCATTCCATCCTCTAGGCCATTCCAAAAGAAACGTGGAAGAGGAAGATTCAAAAAGTTCTTTATATGATATAGACACCTGCACCATTTCTCCTCCTGCCAGGGGACAGGAACCAAATCCTTTCCTGCTCTGGACACCGGGACAAACATCCTTTGGAACAGTTTCACATCGGTGTATTTCTCTTTCCCGAAGCCAGGACAACCTGTGGCCAAGCTGTGGAGAAGTGACACGGTTTTGGACGGGCCTCCAGAGCATCCTGGAGGTTTGGTTTATTTACCTGGACAGGGAATCACTCCAGGGAATCATTCCAGTTCCTCTCCAGCACAACTCTCAGCTGCTCCTCAGCCTTTCCTCTCTATGAAGGCCGTGTGCTGGCCCTGCAGGTAGCTCACAATTTTCTCCTCTATCTCCATGCCTTGTGCTACCTCCTCCTCAGAGAGGGACAGGGGGGTCTGTGAGTCTCTGGTGACGATGATGACGGAGGTCCTGCGGGATTCCAGGACGTTGGCCACCACCACCTGGTGCCGGTACTTCTCCAGAGCCTGTCGGGATTTGTCGATCAGGATCTGGGGATCCGTCTCCAGCTTGAAGGAAATCACAAAGGCCTCGGGGGCCCAGTCTCTGACCAGGGGGGACAGCATTTTTGGCACCATCTTCATTGTGATCTGTGAAGAACAACAACCACCCCCCCAAAAAAAAAAAAAATCAGTCCAAAGATCACAGTGAGTTTTAGTAAGAGAGGGGAAATTCCAGCTTTGCTTCACTTTGTGTTTGCAGTGGGAAGTTCTGCAAGGCAGTGTTTGATCAGCCCTCAGCAAACAAGGCTCAAATGTCACTGCAACACTCTGTAAGTTTAACTGAAAAGGATCAGTGAGGTGCCACCAAGAAGCAGGGAGTAAGTTCAATTCAATTTAATTCAACTCAACTCGACCCAATTCCATGACCAAAGTGGTACCCATAAAAAGCAGGGGGGTTCTGAAGCAGGGCCACAGGAACTCTGCATTCCCAGAGCTAAACCCCACTCTGGGAATATAAATATAAGCAGAGAAAGATTAAAAAACAAAACAAAGCAAACAAACAAACAAACAAACAAAAAAGCATTACAGCTTGAGAAGTCTGAGTTTTTCAGCTCTCCTGAATCCAGGCAGGTTATTACACCTTCAACTTTGCTTCCCTCAGCCCCTTAAGGCACATGAGGCTTCAAAGTCCCAAAGAATAGGGGGAAAAAAAAAGTAGGAGACTTTGTTCTCCAGCTTCCCAAACTCTGGGTCCATCACTAGGAATCAGGTTGGGTCCCACCTTTCTGGTGCTAATGATAAAGAAATAAGCCCAGCAACTTCTTAGGTGCTGATTATATTACATTAATTTGGTGTTTGTTGCACACAGAGCTCTGGAGTCAACTGCTCTCATTGCTGAGAGGGCAAGAGACACGAGTGTTGGACCATCATCAGTGCAGGCAGGATGGATCCAGAGTCATGGAGTCGTTTGGGTGGAAAGAGACTTTAAAGACCATCTCGTTACACCCCCTGCCATGGGCAGGGACACCTCCCACCATCCCACGTTGCTGGCCTTGGACACCTCAAAGGATGGGGCAGCCACAGATTCTCTGGGCAACCTGTGCCAGGAGCTCCCCACCCCCACAAGGAAGGATTTGTCCCCAAAATCCCAGCATGGATCAAGCCTCTTTTAGCTTAAAGCGATTCCCCCTTGTCCTGTCACTCCAGGCCCTTGTCCAAAGCCTCTCTCCAGCCAGAAGGCAGCAACTCAAGTACTGAAGGAGCTATTCCTGGAGCACTTCAGCTCCCTGAGACCCACCTCTCCTCGTCTCCATGGAAGCACAGGCAGCTCTAAAGGACAAAGCCAGAAGAGCAGGAGGCACCTCACAGTTTCTCCTTCACATTCCACAGCACAATTGCTGGCATGTAGAAGCTGCTGCCTCTCAACACCCAGACAGAGCAGTGCTGGACAAGGCTCCCTCCCTGTGGATAACCCTTGGATAACCCATGGATAAGGCACGGCACCACTCACTGCTGGGGCTGGAGCTTGCCACTCAACTCCCTTCATGCCATCCTAAAAATAAACCTGGATCAAAGCAGAGCAGGGCTGACCCTGCCCTGCCTGCCCTCTTATCTGGGCCCCCCTGGTGCAAGATAAGAACAAAACAATGCAACTCCAGCATCTCCACCCCTGTGGAAACACTCACCCTCCCATTCATTCCCTCTGAGAACACACAGGAGCTGGTGCTTTGCAGCTTTCCCAGGCTTTATCCACGGCCAGGCAGGACCCTGGGAGCAAGGAGGGGGCGGCAGAAAGGGGGGAGGGCCTCACCTGCAGGGGCCCCTCCGAGGACTGGATCTTGTGCTCGGGCATTTCAGAGGCCGGGATGTAGAAATCGGACACGGCGGCTGCCAGGTAGAACATGACACTGGAGCCTGTGGGAAAGAGCTCTGTCACCCCTCTGTGGGACTGGTCCTGTCACTCCAGGGACCCCAGAGCCAGCAGGGCCCCCCCAGAGCCCCCCCAGCACTGCCCCCTCCCAGGGGTCCCCTCAGACACACCGTCCCCCACTGGGGTCTGCCTTGCCCCAGATAAGAGGTCCATTCATGCCAGAGCCCCACGGGCAACAGGGCCACCTTGTCACCTCATCCCTGGGCTCTGGGACCACCCCGAGGGGGTCATATTATCCCCTAATGCCAGGAACATACTCCCTCACCTGGCCCCCATGACCACCACGTCCCCTCAGGCCCATGTCCCCCAAATCCCCTCAGGCCTGGGCCCCCTCCCGAGGCCACTCTGTCCCCTCACACCGGGGGCTCCCAAAGGGAGCCTCTCTTGCCTTACACCCCCCACCCCAAGGCTGTTCCAGTTCATCCCTGTCCCCTCACACCAAGGGGGACCCTCCTGGAGCCACCCCATCCCTTCACACCTGGTGTTCCCCTAAGTTTTCTCCCCATTTCCTCGCACTCATTGTACCCCCAGTTCCCCCGTATTCCCTGACACTGGGGACCCCCACGGAGGGACCTCGCCCTCTCTCGCCCTGCTCCTGCAGCCCAAAGCCCAAACCCCACCCCCGTGTCCCCTCACATCAGGGACCCTCCCGGGGCCACGCCATCTCCTCACACGCGGTCCCACTCTGTCCCTTCACCCTGGACACCCCCACGGGCGACCTCGCCCTCTCTTGTCCCCCCTCCATCGCCTCCGTACCCAGCGGTGCCAGCGCCCTGGCCGCGGCGCGCAGCAGCGCCAGGTACTCGGCCAGCCCGGTGAACTCGATGGCGAGCAGCGCTCCCTCCTCGGTGGCCCGGCGGTACTCCCGCAGCGCGGGCAGCAGCGCGGGCAGCGCGGCGGGCGCGGCGGCCACGCCGGGCGGGGGCCCCGGGTCGAGGCGGAGCGCGTCCAGCAGCGCGGGGCCGTGCGGGGGCAGCGCGCGGGCCCAGGGGAAGGCGGAGCGGGCGCGGTGCAGGAAGCACACGCCGTAGCCGAGCCCCACGAGCCGCTCGGCCGAGGCCGCCCCGCGCCGCCCGCTGCTGAAGTTCTCCAGGAAGCGCACGGCCCGCGCCTCCAGCGGCACCTGCGTCCCGCCCGAGGTCACCAGCGCCACGCGCCGCCCGCGAGCCGCCTGCGCCGCCGCCCAGGCCCGCACCCGGCGCTCGGCCGCCAGCGCCGCCGCGTCCTCCGCGTCCTCATTCTCCCCCTTCTCCTTCCCCTCCTTCTCCTTCCCCGGCTCCGCCATGACCCGCCCGCCGGAAGTGGAGGCTTCTCCTTGCAGGCCCTTACCGGAAGTGTTGCCCCGGCAACGCCGACGCTCGCCGCCTTCACCCCGGAAGTGTTGCCCTTGGCAACGCCTCTGCCCGCGGGCTCCGCCCCGAAAAGTTTGGAAGAAGCTCTCCAGGCTTCGTTTTGGGGACATAAAGCAAAAAAAAAAAAAGCGCGCACGTTTGTTGCAGCGCAGGGTGTGTCGGGAAGGATTCCCCAGGACGCGTCCTGAATCGCATGGGTTTCATCAGTTTAAACAACTTCATAATTACAGATTCAAGGATTCCCTCACCTGTGTCGCCCCATTTTCCCCCTCGAATTGCCTGTTTGGCTCTTGACACGGTTTCCTTCCTTCTGGACCTGGCTCAAGGCCTAAACCCAGTCTCGTTTGGTCTCCTTTCTCGCTTTTATCACTCTCTTCCACAGGTGCTAACAGTTGTTTTAGTTTCCCAAATAAAACGCTGTAGACTGTTTCATTCACTTCCACAAACACTTTGAAACCGTTTCTCTATTTCTTTGCTGAAATCACTAATCTCAGATGAAGGGTCACAGAACACTAATTGACATAAAAATGTGGGTGACCTTGCCTTTGCCAAAGGCAGAATTAAGACTCCACTAATAAGATGAAATATAATTACCTTTGAGGAAAATACGGGTGTAGCATGAAGAATCAAAGGAAAATGCGGGCAGTCAAACCAAGTAGTAGTTACAATGACTGGAAACAGCTCAGGGTTTTGGAAGGGGTACAGAAATAACCTTACATGCGAAAACTAACGCCGGCTCTCCCATTTTGGCGGCTCGTTGCCATGGCAACGCGGGACGCTCCGGGGACAGGGGAGGGCCCCGGGCCGAGCATGGCGGGCCGGCCCCGCTGCGAGCTGTGCGGGAGCCGCCCGGCCCCGCGGGTCTGCCCCCGCTGCCGCCTCGTCCGATACTGGTGAGGGACCCCCGGCACTGCGGGGACAGGGGACAGGGGACAGGGCGGGGGAGGGAGGGAAGGAGAAGGGCCGGGAGGCATCCAGGGGCCTGGGAGCAGCCCCGGGACGGGGCTCAGGACACGCATCTTGTGTCACGATGAGACACGAGAGGCAGGGACAGGCACGGGAGGAGGCTCAGGATACAGGGGGAGAGCCTGGGAGAAACACCCAGCAGGCAGGATGAGGGGGCAGGGATTCACCCAGGATACAGGGGGAGAGCCTGGGAGAAGGCTCAGGACACCCAGCAGGCAGGATGAGCAGGCAGGGATTGACCCCAGGATGGGGCCCAGGACACCGGGAGAAGGGCCAGGATGAGGCCCCCGGAGGGGAAGGACAAGAGGCCAGGAATAGTCCCCGGGATGAGGTGCTGGAGGTGGGGACAAAAACCAGGAGGGACAAAGCAGGAGTCAGGGACTAGTCCCAGAACAAGGCTTGGGTCACAGGGAAAAGGCCCGGGAGAAGGCTCAGGACATGAGGGGAAAGCCTGGGATAAGGCTCAGGACACTGGGAAAAAGCCCAGGATGAAACACAGGAAGCACGAACAGGTCCAGGAAAAGGCCCAGGACACAGGGAGAAAGCCTGGGAGGCAGGATCAGGCCCAGGCAGGGACTGGCCTTGGAATGAGGCTCAGGACACTGGGAGAAGGGCCAGGATGAGATCCAGGGGACAGGACAAGGAAAGAGGCCGGGACATGGCAGGAGACAGGGACCAGCCCCAGGATGGGGCTCAGGACACATGGAAAAGGCCCAGGTTTGGGGGTTTTTGCGTCCACAAGGTTGGAATCGAGGGATTTGACTGTACCAGTAATTCAGGGAGTGATTTAAACCAGGATTTTTAACAGCCAGCACCAGGGGGGCTTGGCAGGACATAGCTGTGCTTCCATCTGGGAATATCATGTGCTCTGTGAGCAGCCCAAGGGCTGGGAGTGGGGGGAGTGGGATTCCTGTGGGGAAAGTCCAAAAGGCCCAGCAGGGGATAATCTTCCCTCCCAGCACCTCCAAGATGGATAAAACTCTGGCTGTGCCCCCTTTGGCAGCGATGCCTCTCACCAGGGGGCCGACTGGAACAGCATCCACGAGAAGATCTGCCCCCTGCTCATCCCACCCCAGCCCTGCTTCCACTCAGAGAGGGACAGAAAACACGGCAAGGAGCAGCTGCTGAGGAGGCAGGTGGGTGCAGCAGAACAAACACCACTTCAAAGTGCTCCAGGGGAGGTTCATTCCAGCTTCTCTCCCTACCCAAACTGGGCTCCACGGGCTCACCTGGGGTTTTCAGCCACACAGCAGCTTCCAAACCAGCCTGGGCTGTCACTGCCCATTCCTACAACACTGAGAGGAATCTGCTGCCTGAAGCAGAGCAGGACTTTTGCCTTCACCCCTTCAGAATTCCTCTCTCTGGATGTTCCCAAGAAAGGCGACAGTCACCTCCTTGGGTGATTTGGTGCCTGATTGCGACTTGGGGGTTGTTTTTTCAAACAAAACCTCAACAATGAGGGGAGTGGAGGCACCCTCTGTGAGATTCTCGAGCCTCCAGCCTTTTCCACAGCCCTTACTCCAAGTCCTGATCTTCCCGAGGCAGCACAATCCTGGCTCTGCCCCCTGGCCAGGTAGTCCATCTCCCTGACTAGTCCAGGATCCTGCTTCTTCCAGGCTGTCTGAAAGGAGGGAATCCCCTTTCCTAGAGCAGGGGGGGCAAAGAAATCAAGTCCCTTCCCTTCATTTACTTGCCCAGCTTGGCCCTGGAATGCTCTTTCCCCACTAAGTGCAGCCTTTTATCTCCCGTGGGGCCCCGGGGGAGGTGCAGATGTGCAGCTCCTGCCCAGCCCCGGTGGTTTGCAGCTCTTTCTCTCTCTGTTTATGGGGTGGCAGGAGCTGCTGCCCCACAGTGTTGCTAAAACACCCCACCCAGGTGCATCTGCTCCTGAAAACCCTCCCCCTGGAAATAAATTCTCCCCTCTGTAATTGCAGAACTCCCAGTCCTGGAGTAAAAGGGCAGCAGACTGAGCTGGGAACAATCCAGCCATTGAGAAGAACACCAGGAGTCTTGTGGATTTGCCATGAGTTATTATTATTTCCAAGGTGTTTCTGGCCCAGGTGTGGGGCTTTGGTGGGCAGCTCCACGCTGTTGTGTTTCTTGGGAGAAGCCAGAAAGAGGAATTTTAAATTCGGTTCAGAAGTGCTGCTTGGGGAGAGCTCGTGACAGGCTTTGGGCAGCAGATTCCTCTGGGTTTTACAGGAGCTGGGCAGTGACAGCCCAGGCTGGTTTGGAAACTCCTGTCTGGCTGAAAAACCCCACGTGAGCCCGTGGAGCAAAGTCCACAGAAGGTGTGTCGGGCCAGTACGGCCCAGAAAATGCCAAACCTGCCCAGTTCCAAGTTCTGCTGAAGTTGATCCTTTATAAGGTCTGCAGGGAAGGTTAAAATTGCTGTCACAGGGGGTGTGGCAGGATTTTTTTTCCACCCAGAAGTGCTTGAAGCTGTTCCAAGGAACTCCCCCTTCTATTGAACCCCATGGTTACATCACTGACTTTATAACAACTCAAATCATCCCTTACCCATCCCAAGAGCCACGTGAGTGACAGCTGGAGGAAGTGCTCCTTGATTAGCTGGAAGGTAATCAGCTGGGTTAATTAGGGGCAGGGAAAGCCAGCAGGAAGGGCTGGAGGACTAGAGGGAGTCACTCTGGGTTGGGGTTCATCTGGCTGAGCCTGGGAAGGCAGGGACTGCAGACTGAACCTCCTTCAAAGGAGAGACTTTATTGGGCCCTTTAACAACCCTTAACAATGTCTGTTCCTTGACCTTTGTTTCCAGGCTGGGTAAATAGAATAGGTTCTGGGAACGGGATGTGCTGGGACAGTTTGCCTTCCTTCTTTCTGAAGAAAGGGAGAGAGACTCTGGAAATCCCTTGGTGACCTGGTGGCTCTCCCAGAGAGAGGGAGAGGTGAGAAGAAGAAGAGAGTGAGAAAGTGTCTTTGTGGCCAGCAGGGTTTGGGGCAGTCAGGCTGGGCCTGGCCTGACTGAGAGGATCTGGGAAAGGGGGAGGTTATTTAGTAGTGCCTTGTCTCACTGCTGCATCAAATTCCTCTTCCAGAGCCAACAAAATGCTTTAAAATGTTCTTCCCTGTGAGGGTGGGCAGGCCCTGGCACAGGTTGCCCAGAGAAGCTGTGGCTGCCCCTGGATCCCTGGAAGTGGCCAAGGCCAGGTTGGAGCAACCTGGGCTAGTGGAAGGTGTCCCTACCCATAGCAGGGACTAGAATGAGATGAGTTTAAGGTCTCTCCCAACCCAAACCTGTCTGGGATTCCATGAAAAAAAAGGCCTTTGGAGCTGAGGGGGAAAGCTCTGCCATCTCACGATAACCAGAGCAGAAACCTGGCGCTCAGAGCCTGCCCATGGGTTTGGGTTTGGTTTTTTTTTTTTGAACATTTCTGCTGCACTTTTCCCCCTCCTGCACGGTGTTTGTTTAGGAAACACAGAGCTCCAGCCCCAGCCAGGACACAGGAAAGCCTGGGCACATCCCAATGCCCAGTGGCTCCAGGAGCAGGGAGCCAGGAGTGAGGAGTTTCATTTCTATTCCTCGTCTGGCTTCCAGAGCTTTGTTGATAGAAATCTGCTGCTGTCAACGTAGCCTTGGGGGTGCCTGCAGCCAGCACCTCCAAACTGACAGAATTCCAAGTTTCTGTTTGGAAAAGAGCCTCACCTGCCTGTGTGATGTTGTGATGTCAGCTCCCCACAGCCCCTGGGCACGGGAAAAGATCCCAGAGGATTCAGCCACAGAGGCTGCAGGTTCAGCCTGAGCTAATGGGACCTCCCTTCTTCCCTAAATCCTCCTCTCTGCAGGCACACCGTGAGTTTGGGAGTGGGTAATGGATGTGGCACTGAACCCTGAGCGTGTTCCCAACTCCCCTGCTCCCACCTGGAGCAGAGCTGGGGTCCATGGCCTCCCCAAAAAAACTGTGTGGGGGCAGTTCAGAGAAACCTCTAATTGCAGCTCACATGAAAAGAGCCCAAAGTGAGCAGGGCTGGGGGTGTGGGGCTGTGGGAAAGGGGGAGAACCAGGCCAGGGACAAAGGGAATGATCCCCCCAGGGCTGTTCAGGGGCAAAAGGAATGATCCAGTGATCCCCCCAGGGCTGTTCAGGGGCAAAGGGAATGGTTCCCCCCCCCACCCTCCCCAGGCTTGGAATTGTGGTAGAAAATATTCAGGGCTTCAGGGCTGCTCTTGCCTCCTGCCCTTCCTTCTCCTCCTGGAAGCTGTGCCAGAGTCCAACACCCAGCTCTGCAGATGTTTCAGATAGTTCACTCTTGGGAAGCAGAGATGATCCCGTTGACAAGGAGTAAAAAAAGGCACGATCCCTATCTCCAGCCCCTCCCAGATGCCAATCTGGGCCGTGCCCACGCACCAGGGTCCTGCTGGTTGCACCAGCCTGGCACAGACAGAAAAAGCAGCCTGAGAAATACCAGCTTTTCCTGCTGCTGCCCCAAGCGTGTCCTGGCTTTCCCCTGGGCACCACGTGCTCCATGGATACAGTTTGGGTTTGGTAGAATCCCAGACTGGTGTGGGTTGAGAGGGACCTTAAAGACCATCATTCCAACCCCCTGCCATGGGCAGGGACACCTTCTACTAGCCCATGTTGCTCCAACCTGGCCTTGGACACTTCCAGGGATTCAGGGGCAGCCACAGCTTCTCTGGAAAACCTTCTTTTTCCCTCTCCGTGTTCTGGTAGCTCAGGGATGGCTGCTGTGTGTTCCAGCTCTTGGCAGGGGGCTCTTGCTCTGGGCTGTGTTCTTTGAAGCTCTCATTTATCCAAACCAGTGTCTCTTTACCTCAGCCAGGATCTCCAGGAAACCCTCCCAGGCTGTCCTGGAGCTTCCCTGTCCCTGAGCTGCTCCTTCACCCCTGGCATGACCCTCTCTGCCTCACCCTGAGCACTTGGAGCTCAGCAAAATGCCAAAGCCCAGCCCCCGGGAGCCCTGGGAATGGTTTCTCTGCCCAGCTCAGCCCCAGCTGGAGGCAGAAGGTAATAAAGAGGTGAAATGATATTTTTTGTGGTGTCCAGGGAGAGTCAGGGCCTCGCTGACTTACCAGGGCTCTCCAGCAGCTTCCCAGGGAGCTTCCCTGCAGCACCACTGGTGGGAGAAGCTGATGGAGAAGTGTTAGGAACTGGCTGTGCAGGGCTTGGAGTAACCTGGTCTAGTGAAAGGTGTCCCTGCCCACGGTGGAACGAGTTGGGCTTTAAGGTCCCTTGCAATCCAAACCGTTCTGGGATTCTCCAAGGATCCTGGGAGGGCACAGAATCCACACCCCTGGCAGGGAACAGCATTTGGATGGAGCTGTTTGTGGAGCTGAGGATCGCAGCAGACGCTGCAAAGGGTGAAAAGACAAAATGGTGTGGACTGGCAGGAGCAGCAAAAGGCAGGGAGGAGCTGGACATGGATAAGTGCAGGAAAACTTTTGGATTCTGACAACCAACCCAATCCACCACCAGCCACCCCACAGACGCTGGTGGTGGATTTTCCAGGTGTAACACATTCGGATTCTGACCCGTTTCCAGCCTCTGCACCCAAAGCACCAGCCCAGAGCTGGCCAGGAGAGGGTGGGACGAAGCTGCACTCCGTGTGAGGAGCTCTCTCCTGGCTCCCTGGCTCCTGCAGCTGGAGCTGTGCCCGACTGGCACGGCCAGAGCTGCTCCGCTGCCTCTGAGTCAGCAGCGTTCCCGGCAGAGCCCGGCGGAGCCCCTTTGTCTGATCTCTGCTTTGGTCTTGTGATGATCATTTTCTGTGCTTCACAGCTTTTGTTGCTCAGGCTTATGAGCCCTTGTCAGGAGCAGTAAAGGATTCTTCGTCCTGGGAGACACCACATGACCCACAAGGATGGCCAAAGCTGCTCCTGCTCGGAGCAGGAATGAAGCCAAGCTCTAATATGCTCTAATATGCTCTAATATGACAGCTTTAAAGTCTGCCTATTAATTACAGCCACAAACTGCATTACAATCACTGCTTTAGAGTCTGAAAACTCGATTTTAAAAGGAGGCTGTGCAATTGTAACCACCTGGGCTGGTGAAAAGTGTCCCCTGGACAGGAATGAGATGGGGCTTTCAGGTCCCTCCAACCCAAAGCAGTCTGGGATTCTGTGATTTCATTCCATGGCAGGGGACAGAATAGGATGGGCTTTAAGGTCCCTTTGACCCAAACCAGTGATTCTGTGGTTTCATTCCGTGGCAGGGGATGAAGTGAGATGGACTTTCAGGTCCCTCCAACCCGAACCAGTCTGGGATTCCATGATTTTATTCTGTGGCAGGGGTCGGAACTAGATGGGCTTTAAGGTCCCTCCAACCAAACTAATCTGAGATTCTATGATTTTATTCCACGGCAGCGGGTGGAACGAGGTGGGCTTTGAGGTCCCTCCAGCCCAAACCAGCCTTGGATTCAATGTTTTTATTCCACGGCAGGGATGGATTTTCAGAACAAGACGGATTTTCAGGTCGCTCCAACCCAAACCGGTGATCCCGTGATTATCTCCCCCGCTTCTCTTTTCTCCCCTTGCCCTGGTCCTGTGTTTCCCTGCAGAAATCCATCGTGGAGGTGGCTCTCAGGGCTGCCCAGGAGTTCCTTTGGGAAGGGAAGGCCCTGCAAGCCCTCCCCGCAGCCCTGCAGGCCCTTCGCTTCAGCGCCCGCGTGTTCGGCTGGAGCTCCGTGCAGCTGGTGCCCGTTTATCTCCTCCTGGCTGAGGCCTCCACGGGTGAGCATTGTCTGAAGCCAACCCCTGGCGAGGGCAAGGCCTCCCTGGGGTCAGGTTTCTGGTTTCCTTTTCCCATTTATCAGGGGGAAGGGCCGGCTTCTGTGCCCTGCTCTTCCTCAAGGGCGTTGCGGGGAGATTTGAGAATCACACACCCCCCTCACACCCCCTTTCTGGGAGTCTGGGGAAGAGAATCAATGAAAGCAGCTGGAATGGTTAGTCCCTCTCCCCCATTTCCCACAAGAGAAGCCGAATGAAAGTCTTCTCTTTACCTCTGTGACCTCGGATGACATCCTGAAGCATCACATTCCCGAGGGTGCTCGGCTGTGCTTTTTTATCTCAGGGAACATTTTTTTTTTTTTTTTTCTGAGGCCGCTGCACCCCAGGAACGTCTGGGCGTGCATTCACAACTGTGCCCATTCACAAATCCCGCTCTGCCTGAGCAGAGCTTTTCCTCATTGCATTGTGTGCTTTGGAAAACACGGCAAATTAGGGCATGGGAGCTGCTCTCTGCTCAGCCACTGGCAGAGGGCTGAGAGCTCCCTGTGAATCACTGCCGTTCCAGGAACACACAATGCCCCACCGGCAGAGCAGGGCTGGCTCGGGGCTCAGTCCTAAACGGTGCGCTGAGAGCAGGGGAAAAAAATTCCTATGAGTAATTCCAGTGTGATAACGTGCGAGACATGGAGTGAACCTGTCTGGGACACGTGTTCCGGAGATACTGAGGGCAGTAAACCCTCTGGGAGAGATGGGAGGATTCAGCCTGGGGAAGGAAAACTTCAGGGAGACCTTAGAGAGCTGGAGAGGGACAGGACAAGGGGGGATGGTTTAAAGCTGAAAGAGAGTTGATCTAGACTGGGATATTGGGAAGGAATTCCTGGCTGTGAGGGTGGGCAGGCCCTGGCACAGGGTGGCCAGAGAAGCTGTGGCTGCCCCTGAATCCCTGGAAGTGTCCAAGGCCAGGTTGGACAGGGCTTGGAGCAACCTGGGCCAGTGGAAGGTGTCCCTGCCCATGGCAGGGGTGGGACTGGGTGGGCTTTAAAGTCCTTCCCAACCCAAACCATCCTGGGATTCCGGGATTTTATTCCATGACAGGGGGTGGAATGAGATGAGCTTTAAGGTCCCTCCCAACCCAAACTATCCTGGGATTCTGTGGTTTCTGACTCCTCTTGTAGCTCTCAACCCTCAGCCTGGGTGTAAATGTGCCTTTGGACACATGGGCAGCTCAGGAGCGCTCGGGAGAGAAGTGGGGAATCCACAAACTCCATCCCTGCCTCAAACTACCCAAAGGGACATCAGGCAGGATCTTCTGACTTCCCAGATTAAAAAAAAAACGTTCTCCATCCTCCTTATCTCCCTGCTTTGTTTTCCACGTGTCATTCCAGGCACTGGGAATCTCCGACAGGCATCCAAGTACCTGTCTGAGGCCGAGTGGATCGTCCTGCAGACCCCAGACTGCCCTGCTGCTGTGCAGTCCAGGTTACACCGTGGGCTGGGGCTCTTCTGTGTCGCTCAAGGAAACCTTGACGAGGCTTTGTATCACCTGGCCACTGATGTGAGTCACCTGAAACACAGGAACACCTTGGGTTTGATTCCTTCCCTCCTCCTTGGGTCAGTATGGAAACCCCAGCAGGCAAATATGGGATCCTGAGAGGGTTCCCATCCCAAAAACCTGAACTGGATGGATTTGACACACCCATGTGTCCATGTGGGAGCCAAAGCTGGGTTTTACCAGTTATCCCTGTTCCCATGAAGTGACAGAGAATCATGGAATCACTGAGGTTGGAAAAGCCCTCTGAGATCATCAAGTCCAACCATTCCCCCAGCAGTGCCAGGGCCACCACTAAACCGTGTCCCCAAGTGCCACATCCACAGTTTTTTTGAACACTTCCAGGGATGGGGGCTCCCCCACTGCCCTGGACAGCCTGTGCCAGTGCCTGACCACCCTTTCTGTGAAGGAATTTTCCCAAATATCCAATCTAACACTCCCCTGGCACAACCTGAGGCCGTTTCATCCTGTCCCTTGTTCCCTGGGAGCAGAGCCCAACCCTTCCCTTCTCCCCCACTCCTGTCAGGGAGTTGCAGAGCCAGAAGGTCCCCCCTGAGCCTCCTTTTCTCCAGGCTGAGCCCCTCCAGCTCCCTCAGCCACTCCTTGTCACATTCCTTATGTCCTTGCCACATTCCTTTCCTCCCTTTAGATTTACCCATCAGCTTTGCTGAGATGCCCAGACATTCCTGCCTCAAACTCATATTGTCACCTTTTATCCCACAGATAATTTATATTTTGGCTGCTATTTCCCTCAATACTTTCCCAGATCATCAGCCAATATTTAATCAATGCCTTTTTAAACTCTTTCAGTATCTGGTTCAGTGACCCAGTTTCGGGGTTGCATTTCCCCAATTCCACCCTTTGAGCCAGGGGAACAGTTTGTTACGCTGGAAGTGGGGGTTGCCAGCTGTGTTCCTGGGGATGCTTCGCCTGCCATTTGATCCTCCAAAGCCAGATGAACTTCTCCACCTCCTATTTCTGTCCCGTGGTGCCTAAATTTATCCTGTGCTGAGTGATGGCTCCCCACTCCTGGGGAATTTGATAGTGGCTTTGTGTGGGTGTCAGGGATGGGGGCCAAGAATTGGACCCTTTCCATTCTAACAGACACAACCCAGTCATTTCTTACTCCATAAACCCTTTGGGAATTCGAGATTCCCACAAAGGGAAACTTGGGACATTCCCGAAACGCCTTTTTGTTTTTAAGATTCCTAACTGGGCACCAGGTAACGAGTTTTTTTGCTCTTAGCAAGTGGTTGTTCCAGGTTGGAGCAGCCCAGGAGCTGCTGGGACCTTTGGCTGCGTGTCTGGGATCTGCTGAGAGTCACACGCCAGCTCAGAATAGCTGGAATGCACCAGTGCCTTCCCCCAGTCCCGGCTCCAGGGGCTCCAGCAGGGCTGGGAAGGCAGCAGGGTGGGATTTGGGAGAGGTGGGACGGGCACAGGGGTGGGGAGAGGTGGGAAACCTGCCCTGGATTGAGGGGAACATGTTCCAAAGGTTCCTCTGGCCCAGGAAAAAGGGGGGTTGGATTCCCATGGATTGACCCCAAAATGCAGCTTATTCCTATGGATAACCCCAAAATGCAGCTTTTTAGTACCTTATTCCTATGGATAACCCCAAAATGATGCTTTTTAGTACCTTATTCCTATGGATAACCCCAAAATGATGCTTTTTAGTACCTCATTCCTATGGATAACCCCAAAATGCAGCTTTTTAGGACCTTATTCCTATGAGTAACCCCCAAACACAGCTTTTAAATCTCATTCATTTGCACAACCCCCAAATACAATTTTTGGTACCTCATTCCTTTACAGAACCCCCAAACACACCTTTTTAGCACCTCATTCCTATGGATAAAGCCCAAAATGCAGCTTTTAATATCTTGTTCCTGGGGATAGCCCCAAAATACAGGGGTTTATACCTCATTCCTACGGATCAACCCCAAAACACACCGTTTTAGTACATCACTCCTATGGATAAACCCCAAATTCCAGTTTTTTAACACCCCATCCCTTTACATAACCCCCCAAATCCAGCTTTTTAGCACCACACTCTCCAACCCCAACCAGGTACAACCGACCCTTGCAACGCAACAAAACCTGAACACCCGCAATGTTATTAATCCACAAGGAAAAACTTCCCAGCTTTGACATGAACATTAAACTTCTGGGGTTTATTTTGGGTGGGTTTTTTGTGTTTAATATTGATTTCAGGTTTATCTTGCTACTTCTGCCTTTGGAGTGGATGCCATTGAGGTCTCTGGAGGGTATTTCCACATGGCCAACATTTTCCTCCGCCAGAATAAAGTGGATGTGGCAAACTCACTCTACTCTGAGGTTGGTAGAACCAAACCCATCATTCCTCAGGTGTTTCTGGGGGCTCTTTCCAATGTTTTCCCAACTTTTAATCAATGTGCTGGTGGCCATATCAAACCTTTTAGGCTCGGTCTCAGAAAGCCTTTTCATACTTAAATAATTCTCCGAGTTAAAAGCAGGAGACTTTAATCCTGTGCTCAGGGTTGTTAATTGAATTGTCTTCAGTTTGGGCAGCCAAATGCTTGTCAAAAAGCAGCTTTGCCTTTAAATTCCCCGTGCCAGAGGTTAAAGGAGGGAGGGTCTCCAAGAAGGTTCCAAAGCCAGGGAGGAGCAGGACCCAAACCACCTAAAATTAATACTGGGAATCAGTGAAAAGCCACACTGATAAAAGATTCTCAGAAAGGACTGATCAAGAGAGGAAAGTAATAATTATCTAACTGATTTAATAACTCAATTATCTAATTGATAATTATCTAACTGAATTATCTAATTACCTAATTGATTTAATAACTGGGGGGGGGAGGGGGGAGGGCAAATGAGCTTTCATTTGTTTAGAGCGATTTTGGTGGAAGTGAAGCTTTGGGACCTGCACTATCCACTCCCAAACTTTACATTTTTGGTGAATATTTTGGTCTGGTTAAAATCAGTGCCCAGGTGGAGAAACGAAGTCCCAGGTGGGGCTGTGTGGGAGCAGCCGGAGCGATCCCGGCGTGGAACATCCGTGGCTCAGTGACCCGCCGGCACGCGGAGAGGCCGTGCCCGAGACATTGTTTGGAGAACAAGGAATACCAGGTACCCACACAAGTGAAATAATTCCTGTGCTTCCTGCCAGGTGACCAGGCTGTGGCATTCCTGGCTGCTGAGCTCACTGCAGGAGCACCAGGGACGGCTCCGGTGGCTCCGGGCCCGCGCCGAGGCGGCTCCGTGGGCCGACGATGAGGAGGTGGCCGAGGACAGGATGAGTAAGAGCTGCTGTTGCCCCAGAACCGCTTGGAAAGGGGGGTTTGGAGGAGTCTGTGCACCCTACAGGTCACGTTCACAAGTGTTAGGGTCGGTGTGGCATTCCCAGAGACCGACTTCTGGGAATTCTGGGTGCTTTGGGTGTTGGTGTTCCGTGGACTGTGCCACGAGGTGCCTTCGGGAATGAGGGTTTTCCACGGAGGCACAGCAGCTTTGCCCTCTCTGTCCATGTACTCCATTTCACAGCACCCTTGGCAGTGACTGCAGCAAGATTTTGCCTTTCAGGATTTGATTCCACTTCATAGAATCGTGGAATCTTTAGGGTTGGAAAAGTCCTTTAACATCACCGAGCCCAACCAGTCCCCCAGCACTGCCACATTCACCCCTAACCCACATCCCCCAGTGCCACATCCACACATTTCCTGAACAATTCCAGGGTTGACAGCTCCACCAGCTCCCTGGACAGCCTGTTCCAGTGCTTTACATCCCTTTCCATGACAAATTTTTTTCCTAATATCCGATCCAAACCTCCCCTGGTGCAACTTGAGACTTGAACGTTCTCATTTCTCTGCATCTCCTTTGTGTCCCTTTAATAATGAAGGTGACATTTCCCCTCCTTTAGGTGGGGTTACAGCTCTCTCCTGCAGCAGCAGAGAGCTGCTCCATGGAAGGGCCTGTCCTGGTAATTGGATGTGTTAATCAGGAGAATATTCACAGGAGAGAGGCTGAGGGACATGAATGTGCCTAAAGCATTAATGAGCCTGGTACTACCCCAAGCTCCACTAAAGCCGGAGCAGACTCTGCTTTTTGTCTCCTTTCTACCACTTTTCTAAGTGAGATATTGTCAGGGAAGGGAATTTCTATCCCTGGAAGTGTCCAAGGCCAGGTTGGAGAGGACTTGGAGCAACCTGGTCTAGTGGAAGGTGTCCCTGGTAGAAAGGGAGGAGCTTTTAAGGTTCCTCCCAACCCAAACCAGTCTTGGATTCTGTGCTTCTGAGAGGAACATTTCTGTGAAACCCATTTCCTGGCATTGCCTCCATCAGGAGTTCCCAAAGAAGGAACCACACCAAGGCAGGGCTACAGGAGACCATCTTTGCTGTGACAGGAGTAGGAAAGTTGTTCTTCTCCTAAAGTTTTTGTGACTCCACATCCTCACTAAAGGCTGATCACCACAATCCCTGACCGATGAAAAGCGTTTTGTTCATGGGCATGGAATGTGCATGGAGCTGGGATCATGGAATCACAGAGGCCCAGACTGCTTTGGGCTGGGATGGACCTTAAAGCTCATCCCATCCCACCCCTGCCGTGGGCAGGGACACCTCCCACTGTCCCAGGTTGCTCCAAGCCTGGCCTTGGACACTCCCAGGGATCCAGGAGCAACCACAGCTGTGCCAGGGCCTCAGCACCCTCACACTGTGCTGATGTTTGTCCCAGAAATGCTTTGATGTCTACAAGAGCTAACTGGGCAGTTTGCAATGCATTCCCTTGCCCAAACCCACCCATCCAACGGGATATTTCCATTCCTGTGCAGCCAAAGCCCTGCAGGAAGAGGCGACGCGGGTGCTGCAGGCCCTGCTGGGGGTCAGGGAGCAGCAGCAGCTCCCCGAGGAAACAGCCCAAATCCTGCACGCCCTGGCCATGCTCCACTACCTGGGCCTGGATTTGGAGAAGGTAAGTTGTGGCTAGAAGGGTTGGCCAAGTGGTTTTGGGGGTTAGTCCATGTCCTGGAACGTTTGTTCCCCTGGAACATCTCCTGAGCCCATGAGAGCCCTGCAGGGATGGGGGACAGAGCGTGGAGCTGCCTCAGAGATCTGCACCCCTGAGTTCAGGGTTGGCTCTATTGCAGCCTGCCAATCAGTTCAGAATTTGCACCCACGTGTTTTTCTGGCTAAAAATTCCAGAGGTGCCTGGTAACTTCTTTACCTTACCAAGCACTGATTTTGAGGAAGTGCTGAGCATCTGGAAATCTGGCCCCTCTCCTCAGACCCAACTCAAAAACCCTGAGTTTCTCCTGCCTGTGTTTTGGGAAGGGAAAATACAGATGGTGCAAAACACTGTGTTGAAATATTAATGGTCTCTTCATTGTCTCAGAGAAAGCCACAGCCATGGGAGCGTTTGGAAGACACAAGGAAACAAATTCAAATTAGAAAGAAGACAAAGCTTTATAATTGTAAGAATGTCTAATCCCTGGAAGAGCTAGCAAGGGAAATGATTTAGTTCCTTGCTGAGGAAAATGAGGGATTTAGTTCAGACTGAGTCAATACAGCTGGTTTTTTTTTCCCAGAAAGAGCTTTGGGAACGTTCAGATGAGCTACATTAGATGGGAGGTGATGTCCAGGATGGGGGGCTGGGGTCAATAATCTCTTCTGTCTGCACCACTGGATCCTAAATATGAGATCTGGCAGCTTTAGGCTCTCCTGTAAAGCAGCTTGTACAGGTCACCTCGAAAAGGGAGCCTGGATCTGCTCCAGGCTGCTCCTCCACTGAGCCTGGGCAGGTATTTACCCGTGAGAAAAGCCAAATTCCTGACCATCCCTGTGTGTTTCTTCTGTCCCATTCCAGGCCCGGGAGGTGGGGATGAAAGCCTTCGACCTGGCCAAAGAGCTGCCCCAGCAAGAGTCTCTAGAAACCATTGGTCACCTGTTGGAGCTGATTAATGCCAACTTTTCCCACATAAAATAAGAACTGGCTCTGCCAGATCCAGGTGTTTGGCCAGGTTATCTCTTCCCAAGGTTCCTGGACACCACAGGCGTCACGAGCCCTCCCTCCTTCTCGCTGCTGCCTCTTCCCAGCTCTTGTTCCCTGGCTGTCCTGAACTCTTTGGAAAGTAAACACTTTGGTCTGAGTTAACTTTCATGTGCTGCTCCACCTCTGGAAGCTGTCAGGGTGAGAAACAAAGGCACCCCCAGCACACCATAAATAAATCATTGTTGGCTGGGCTGTGAATGAGCAAACAGCCTCTCATGGCCTCACCTGGGCTGGCCAGGAGCCAAGGGCAGCTCAGGTGTGTTTGTTACTGGTTTCCTGGCTTTGCCTTCCAGTTTGGTGAGGGAGATCCCATGGAGGGATAGGG